CCGATCTAGTTTACAATAAAAAGTAGCCAAATTTCAATTAAACAATTATAACCTATTGTATACAACTCATATAGTTTGCATTTGCGACTAATATCATGCTTATGGCGCTCCCAACACTTTCTTTTTAAAATTTTTTTTTCCATACATTTTTTCATTGGGGTAGTTTTTGGTGGAATCGCCCTGGATTGTGAATTTTTTAAATTAGCCTAAAAGATTGGGAAAAAATTTTTAAAATTTTTAAAGACGAGCCTTTTCCCCGTCAAGCGTTTTGTCAAAAAAGAACTTTTTCCCAATTTTATTTAAACTTTTTAATATTTTTAGTTGCAGGATTTTTCGTACTTTTTATAATTTTTTCCACATTATTAGAAAATTTTAGTGGGGGAAAAATATATAAAGATTTGGGTTAATGCACTTTTTTCCCCTCAATACAAACACGAAAAATTTTTTAACATTCCTTTCCCCCTAAAATCTACAAATTTAAAACGTAATCTAATAGACATTTCATTTTAAAATTTGGGTCTTCCCCTTTGTACGTTATTTTACTAGCAAAAAACTTTTACGATTGCGAAATATTCACAGGCATTCACGAAATTTTAGTATGGTACGTAATAATTATACCCTTTTTAAAAAATGAGATCGACCCCATAGTGAATTTATTGAATCGTATGCACCATCCAACCATATTTTGTTGATACTTTTTTGAAAAACTAATTATGCAAAACACGCCAGTAATAGTTTAAAATTGTTGGTGTTTGATTATGATGATTTTTGACATGCGTAAATTATTGTTTAACATTTTGTTTCTGTTTAGATTATATTCAAGTACTGATATGTCTTTTAACTTCGTCAGTGTATATCTATAAATGTCCAGCGGTAGGGGACACGTATGTGACGTATATAACTGTTATTTATGTTTATTTTGTAATGTTTTCTTGTAATGAAAAAGTATTATCCAATAATCAATTTTGTGCGACAATTTCCCACCCAAAATTAAGAGTGGCAAATTCCTAGGAAACCTTTGGATATAATACTTCATGTTTATCATGAAAACCACCCCGTTTGTGTCAGTCTCATATCCCCTTTCAATCAGAAATTTCTTTTATATCCGCCGGTTGTTTTCTCGTTTCTTTTTACAAGGGTGCCACACTTTTATGAAATTGCATGAACATATCATAATAACCGCCTTATGAAAACTTCTGTGAATGTTTCTAAATACTAAATTTCTTCATTTTTATGTTCGAAAAGTTGAATTCTGCTAGAGGTCGTGGACAGTTACTTGCAATTATCACTTCCGTCCATGATTGGGCTCAAACACGAATGTCAGACATAATCCCCTTCGGACAAAATCCCCTTCGCCTATCCGGACAAAATCCCCTTCATGGGTGGACATAATCCCCTTCATGTTTTTGCAAGGCTGGACAAAATCCCCTTCACTACCCGGACAAATTCCCCTTGTTTCATAGGTTTCTAATGTATTATTATGCTCCATAAAAATTTATGAATAATGTATTACTATGCTCCCTAAAAAATTGATGAATAATGAACTTTTGTTTTTTATTTATAATTATGTATCAATAGTTAACCTTTATTTAGTTTAGAAGTTTTCATTAAAGTTATGGTAAATTATCAACTGCATAACACATATTTGATTAGGCAATTTCTTTAATTGTTTTAAATTGATTAGTATCAAAAACATTTTTTTTAGCCAATAATTGTTTCATTGATTGTATAAGTTGATAATTCTAATTGATACATACTGTCCATTGTTACAATTTCTATTGATGAATGAGTGATAATTTAATCAAACCAAGATCACTGTACTACTTGATTGATTGTTATGAATGCTTTAACAAAGCAATTTGAATGTGATTAAAATGTGCTAATTGAATGTGCTTTTCTGCTGAAATAATTTTTGCTTATTTATACATTAAGATATTTACCACACAGCATAATGCAGTATGTCACTCTCTTACCCACTTTATAAACCGAGGGGGATTTTGTCCTAGGTAGCAATTTTATGAAGGGGATTTTGTCCACTTCAAAATTTCACACATGAAGGGGATTATGTCCACCCATGGAGGGGATTATGTCCAGATATACAAAAATGCATGAAGGGGATTTTGTCCGAAGGGGATTATGTCCGTACACCCTCAAACACTCCTAGCCAGACGCATTTTCAATGTTGCCGATTTGGGTGTGCTTTGGGGATTATGTGTGTGTTTTTTATATACGCACTGACATGTCTTAAAACTTCGTCAATTTAAATATGGATCAGATTTCGATATTATTCAATTTACTTGTTGGCGAAAACAGTTTACTTTACCGCAATCATTTTAAGTAGTTACTTGTTATCCATGTAAGTATTGACCAATACATGCTTTTTCTCCAATGCTTGAATTATCGGCCATCTTTAATTTGTATATGACTGTTTGTGTTTTCTGGATCCATAGAATTATTACAAAGACAAGTTATCGCTAGCGTTGTTTTCGGATATTTCTATTGAAATCATTCTACAAGTAATGTCTCGCTTTGTATGTCTGTAGGTAATTTATTTTGAGTCTATATTCGGTAATAAACACTATGCAACTAACTGTCCAAACCTACTACAGGCAACTGAAATATAAGGGTTTCGTACTTCTGCAGAAAGGTCGATTAAAAATAAAATACATAATTATGTTATAAATAAATGTTTTTAACATTATAGTATAATCGATAAGTAGGTGTCGGAAATTATTCGCAGTTTTCAAGTTTAATTGATCTTCACAATACCCTCAATCAGTTCAATTATCACACAATTTTCTCCTATTATTTGCTCTTTTCGAGTTACTCCAGAAGTATATTGCTCACCCGTTATTTCCATTACTACTCACGAGATAGCTAAGTCGTGGCCACGAGATACCTTGTCGTGGCCACTTGTTACTTTGTCGTGGCCACGAGTTACTAAGTCGTGGTCAAGAGATAGCTAAGTCGTGACCACGAGTTACTATGTCGAGGCCACGAGTTACTAAGTGGTGGCCACGAGATAGCTGAGTCGTGGCCACGAGATACTATGTCGTGGCCACGAGTTACTAAGTGGTGGCCACGAGATAGTTGAGTCGTGGCCACGAGATACTATGTCGTGGCCACGAGTTACTAAGTCGTGGCCACAAGATAGCTAAGTCGTGGCCACGAGATAGCAAAGTCGTAGCCACGAGATACTATGTCGTGGCCACGAGTATCTAACTCGTGATCACGAGATAAATAACCAATCAGATTACACCATTTATATGAATTTTTTTCTTTATTAACTAGACAATGCTATAGTACAATGATGTCCCAGCCTGTAAAAATGTCATGTATACAACTTATTGACTGGTCAATAATTTTACGTTTCGCGTCACTGTGACCCTGATTTTTGACCCAATGACCTCTAAATTATTAGATGTCATCTACTAATCAGGTGCAATGATCTTCCTTGGTTATATAAACCATGGCTTATCCCTTCTAAATTATTCATCAGACAAGGATTTACCTTATAGGCTATCTACTGTCCATCGGCAATGTCCCTTCCAAATAAAATAAACCAAGACTTATTCCTTCTCATGTTATCGTATAAACAAGGTTAAAGTGACATTATGCTCATATTTCCATAGTCAAGTTGAGCTGAATTGACTTTACATTTCTAAAGAGTGACTGTCATAATGGTGTTTGACCAACAGTTGATATTGGAAAATGTTAAGGATGAAATTATAAATCTGCCTAAAATTTAAAAAGACTGTCCACTCTTTTTATAAACTAAGCGTTATACGTAAATTCTAACGGATATTTACAGAAATTTCATTTGGATTTGTGCGTTATCTATTGTTTATGTGAACTTAATTATTAAATTAAAAGGGATTATGGCAAAATGAAAACATATTTTGATCTTTACCCGTTCACACACTATATACCCCTGGATGGACATAATGTCACTTTAACAGGCCGTAGTACATACAAACTGACCAATTTGATCACATAATCGTCCCAACAAAGAGCTTTAGTCAAAAGTAATGTCTGATGGACCATGGAAGGTGACTTTCTAATATGATACAAAAGACAAGTTCAAAGTGAATATCTTCAGTATTTTCAAACATTTATGTTGCATGTATAAAAGTAAGTTATAAAGCTTGAAAAATTTATAATATATATGGTGTATTCTGATTGGTTAATTATCTCGTGGCCACAACTTAGCTATCTCGTGGCCACGACTTAGTAACTCGTGGTAACGACATAGTATCTCGTGGTCACGACTAAGCTATCTCGTGGCAACGACTTAGCTATCCCTTGGCCTCGACTTAGTAACTCGTGGCCACGACATAGTATCTCGTGGCCACGACATAAATATCTCGTGGCCACGACTTAGTAACTCGTGGCCACGACATAGTATCTCGTGACCACGAGATAAATAAAAACACACACATGTCACCTTTGTGCCACCGTAATTGACTTATGTTTTTCTTTGTTTTTATTTAAGTCTATGCAACATTTTACAAATGTTCTCAAATTAAAATGTTATAAGCTTAGATAAATTACATTATGCAAAACAAATATCTTTTGTAAAATTTTCGTAAAAATGTATCTTCTACATAACGGCACTGCTGTTATTACCGATAACAATATCAGATTTGTTTAAAGTATGATAAGTTTAGTTTTCCGCTGCACATCTGCCCGTGGACGGCCTTGTTTAAGACTTGAACCACACGCGCTGTACATGACATACACTGTAAAAAATGGTAACGCCTGACGCGTTCCACAGGTGTTTGTTAACAAAACGTATGTGTTCTTGTTGTGTGCAGTATAAAAACACATGCGTTTCTTTATGGAATGGGTGTTAATAACTAAAACAGTAATGTGCAGTGTTTAAACGGTTGGTGTTTACATTGGCATGCCTGTGTGCAAACATGAAACGTTTGTATTTACTTTTATGTCATAAGCTCATCTCGCGTTTTGATTATTAATAACAAACAAAACAGAAACATAACAGTAAGGATAAGACAATACGAATGTTAAGAAATATTTAATGAGAAAGTGTCTCTGTATTAAACGCCGGTGTTTCAGGGGCGAACATTCTGCGTATGTCATGAGTGCCGATCAAGAACACCTTCTGATATTATCCGAGGTGTTACGAATTTAACTTCCTTTCTCCTGCTGCAGCCGAATTTTTTGGCGAAAATTTTACCTTTCTTCATTTTGAGTGAATTTAGCAAGGAAAACATAGAAAAAACAACAGCAAAAGGTTAGTACGATGTACTTATGTATTTGTAGATCAAATTCAAAGAGTGAAAAGGCAGATCTTTTTAAGACGGGCGCAAAAGAGCATTTTCATTAACCATAAAACTGATTTCCCCACCCACTTTGTTATTTCAAGAATCGTATAGATCTAGAGAATAACGTGCTACTGTCTTTTGATATTAATTTTATCAGGCGAGGCTGATAAGGACTAGAAAGGGCGAGGCTTGCCGGCAAAGTAAAGATAACAAGAAAATCGTCTAGCCTGTTTGTTATGATTACATGTATAGTATGACATGAACATTGATGATGTCATTTGCAATGTAAATTATGACGTCACTTCATTTAGTTGGTGTTAAAACTATTCGCTATCTAATTAATTCGTAATTGAAATCGAAATTGAAATAATAAATAAATAAATAAATATCGCATCTTGATTCAAGACTTGTATAAGGGTATGAGATTACATTGTAGAATTCACATGCTGATGAAAATGAGAATATAAGCAATTGAAAAAAATCCGTTAAAAATGGGCGTGACTTATTCATATGAAGTTTTGCACCTTTCTGTTAGCCTAGTCTGTTCATAATTTTGCTTTCAGGATGACTTTAATGTTGCAGTGCTGAAGGCTTTAGAATCAGAAACAGCTTACAGAAAAGGAAAGGGCCAGAAGACTCAGCCTTTGATGCAAATAATTATGGTAAGGGTGTTAGGTATTCAAAACTTTTAATGTCCTAAAACTTCTTTTTTATGTGACCAGCTGTGATTCAGTGATTGACATGTCTGTACATCTGTGTACATATTTTACATCAACACTTTTTAGGGAATATACCTTAACATCTTATTTCCATAATTATCAGCATGTCATATTTGGCATGCACACTTGCTTGATAAATAATTAATGCGAGTTTTATTTCAAAACTGATTTATATAGGTAAACTATTCTAACAAAGAATACATTTCCATGGTAGTTGTCACTTGATGATAACGCTAAAAATGCTTTTAACATTCAATTTGAATAATATCTAAGGCTTATACAAATGCTAACAGTTTTTTCTTTTAAAAAACTGATGCATAAAAATTATCGATATTTGTTTTAGCTTGAAGATGATGGGAATCTTGTGAGACTTCTTTCTTCTGCACCAGAGTCGGCATCAAAGTTGGTTGCAATTGAGAAAGATGAATGTATTGTGAAACATGGCTATTGTTTGTGATGGTACACACATTCTTCTAAAGACAGCCGATTCAATAGGGGCCCTAGCTGTGTCGATTGATTTGTATTACCTTGCAGACCTAGATTATTCAAAGGCATATTCACAGGTTGGTTAAAACAAATTTTCAACAAATTTTAATTATTATGACTCAGGCCAAATTAAAAATATTCCTTGTTTGCTGTCTCCCGATCTTGCTTTGTGAGTTTGGGTAGGTAGGTAGGCAGAATATTTTTTATTCTAAAAATTGTACATAGTTATCCTTATATTTCTCATGAGAAAGTAAAATGCTATAAACAGTGTTTAAACCTTCTGATTTATATTTTCTATCTTCTGTTTTCCATATCAAAGTACTATTCTGTTAACAAACTGGTTGGTTTATGTGAGTTGAATGAGTGGGGATAATCAATAAAAACTTTCTTGCTCAGGAGGCAATAAAAACTTTTGGGCAGGCCTGTTTTTTATGGGTAGGTAGGGAGACAGCAAACAAACATATTTTTAATTCTGGCCTCACTTCTGTTTTTAATGCTAAATTTCTATTGATCAATTATGTAATATTGTAATAATAAGTCACAAAATTTTGCTTGATGCGCATGCTCATTGAAAAATGGAGTCACTGGCATCACATTAAAAAATGACATTTTGCACTATTCACACCACTGGTGAAGAGTGCTTCAAACTTCCTTCATAAAATTGCATTGACTTGTCCATGTGTATGTGATTTGCCTATCAGACTTTTATGCTTGTTTTTGTTGATGTCAGTTTCAGTACACTAAGATCTCTTTTGCGAGTTATGAATCAAAACTTTGTTTAAAGGAAAGAATCGAATTGATCTATCTAAGAAAATAAATATCCACACTTAACATTGTGCTTTCAGAAAAAGAATGCTACTGCGTGTTTTCCAGTTTTATGTGATTTTGTGTTCTTAATCACAATTTCAAAAAACCTTTTCCTCAAAATTTGAATCATTACCATGTTTAATGAATAGGGATTTCTGCAATAACTTCTTATGCTAATATGCTACAATGAATAAAATATGTATGTATACACAGGTGCGTGGGTTCCTTCAGCAAACTGAACTTCAGCACCAGTTTGATGGGCATAAGAGCTATGGATTTGTTCAATATTTAAAGAGAATGAACATGGAAATGGAGAGAAAAGAAAAGAAGCCAATGTGACTTAAGTGATCCAGCTATCATAAAAGGAAAAGTTGAACTTTAATTTCATTTGGATAATTATCAGTTTACACTTCCTCAGAAGTATGTTTTACTTAACTATAATCTTTTTTGAGAGTCGTTAATGATGCCTTTATATGTAACTATTCACACTCTTCATCATAAGTATTTTTGAAGAACTGATTTCATAAATTAGATGTGATATTTGCCAGCTGAAAACATTATTGAGGGGTGAACATCTCATCATAATTATTTAATGACTAGTAAATCCATAATTGTTTTATCCTATGTTTTGTTACAAAGATAAATTGTTTCATTAACTGTAGATTTTTTTGGTTTGCTAGTAAATTAAAAGTTACTAAGTACATACTTTTTTATTATATTTATTTATTTTATGTTTATCACAGACTGTACTTAATGATGATCATGAATTATTAATATATTGCTTCTGATCATCTATGCTAATTACAGAGGATGACTGTTGCACAATCCATTTATATAAATAGCACAAGATTTCATGAAAAAAACACACACATTTTATAAAAAGCGAATGATTTTAACCAATAGAAATCTGGCTATTTTAGTACAAATTAATAATTTTATATTTCTTGCAACAGATGTTTGATGATGTCATAATTTTTAGCTTGATTATTTAAAAAATGGTAAGGCAATAGCTTAGCAGCTGATTATAGCATTAGTGTTGCGTGACACAATGTTAAGTTTTTTAGACAAAGAAAGGCAACCATGGACTTCTGATATTTATTTGGAACATCACCATTTTGTGTATGCAAATATAACTTTGTACATGTGTTAGATACGAAAATATTATTTACCAATACCCATTCAAGGTAATTATGCCTCATTTCGGAGTAAATGCATTGAGAATAGTGCAGGTTTGTTGTCGCTCTAACAGCTCATTTCATGCTTGTGTTTAGCAAAGTTGTATTCTTGAATTATGTTAAATTAAAAATGAAAAAAAACTGTATAATGTTATAATAAATAAATTCCAAAAATACTTCATTAGCATTTTTTGTATTTACAATATGCTGAACATGTATTTCCTTAGTTGTTTTGATCTTACCTGAACATATACAGTAAACACGTAATGCATTTGAAATTGAAATATGTGACATGTTTATCAGGAACACTTTGAAAGCAGCACATGTGGGTTTGGAAACATGTTGCAAGTTCCAGTTTGAAACACCAAACGTGTTTACTGTACATGTTCAGGTGTTCCCAAACTGTAACATAACAAGTGTTCTGCTATGAAACGTGTCACATGTTTCAGTTTGAAACACCAGGAAGCGTGTAAAACGGGAACATCTGTGCGTTTATTCGTGAACATGTGACGTGTTCCATTCTATAGTGTTTCCAAAGTGTAACAGGAAAAGTGTTTCGAAATGTGTTTAAAACTTAAACACCCGTTTTTACAGTGTAGACATGTTCATAGACAGGAACGACTAGTAAATACCACAAGAGACGATACTTTGAAAACTCGATACTGTCTTTCATTTTAAGGAAGATACAAAGTGACATACAATAACCATTTAATTAATTATCAAGCCTGTTAGAGAGGAGATCAAGTTTGTCATTTATCTGTTATTTTACCTCTGCATATTATAAGACAAAATGACTTAATATTGACATATAGTTCTATATCAGTCAAATATATTTCATATTTAAATATAAAATATAAATATGAAATCGGGCGGAGTCAAAACTCGTGTTTATTTTAAGGGACTTCTTTCTTATGTTTCTTTCAGCTCCATTTCTGACAGTCAGTATTTCAGTTATTCACTTAATTATCACTAATTATAATGAATCCTTTAGATTAAATTATATTTTAACACTATCGGAGATTTCATAGAGGATATTTGTTTAGTTCAGTGTAAGATCGGAATATATTTCACCGAGTGAGCACCAAAAGGAATATTTCACGAGTGGCGCAGCCACGAGAGAAATATGAACTTTTGGTGTTCACAAGGTGAAATATATTTCAATCTTACACTAAACTAAACAAATTTTCTTTTTATTATATGCAATGAAACGTTTAAAAAAGACATTTAACCTAATACTGAATGAAAAGCGCGCCAAATAATAATACAACGTGACGTCATTTACGACGTCACGTCATTAAGTTGGTACCCAGTACTGTGCACGCTGGTATTACACTGAAACAACGTAAGGGGCTTAAATTCAAAACAGTGAAATTATCAAAGTGGTAATTTCACTGTTTCAAACAGTGAAATTACCAGTTTTATATCACTGATATATTTCTATAAACCACCGAAAAGCATGTAATAATGTTATGTTAATAAAGAATGCCAGAAAAGTGATATATTTCGCCGTTCTTTAGATCTACTCTTTTTCTGTATTTCAAAAACTACTATCTAGAATGATAGAAAATGGTCTAACTAAGAAAATACATCTGAACACCAATATTTTCAATTCAGTCATTAACGCTGTACAGACGTTACGTGACGTCACAATGTAGCGCCAAACAGCGTGCAAAAATAGTCAAAACAAAAGCGCTATTTTAATGCTAGCCTACAAACCAATTAAATAATATTTCACAACATTTCTTTCAAATCTTAATATTTAAAGGTGTTTATGCTCTTTCTAACACTCCTAGTGATCTTGTCACTTTAGACAATGAAAAAAAAAAAAAGAACTATTTAAAATGACAATAAACACTGGGTAGGGACTACATGTATATGCGGTAGTTATGTTTTCTTCCTCGAATAGATATAGAATCTACTTTACAAAGCCTTTTAAAGCAACAATAAAACACATTGATATTCTCAGTTCTTATAATGTTTTCTTTTCATACAATACTGAAATAATATCTCAAATACACTAACGCCACATATTTGATCCATATCAGTTATTAAATATTTTGACAAACGGCGCCGTAAGCAGCGTAATGACGTCATCTTTTCGTATACAACTCATTCATGAACGCACTAGAATGACGTCATTTCAAACATACAAGAATGATTAATTTGGCACTGATGTAAACACAATACAATTTCAGTCTGAGACGTAAGTTTTTATTGTTGAAAACTTGATAAATAGAGAATAACAGGTTACTGTCTTTTGAGAAAGGGTTTCTCAGACGAGGTTAGATATAGTCCTGGAAGGGGCGAGGCTTGCCGAGCCCCTTCCGGACCATATCTAGCCGAGTCTGAGAAATCCCTTCCTCAAAAGACAGTAACCTGTTATTCTTTTAATCATGCCTCTATTATGACTTTGCATCTTATTTTTTTAATTCGGGGCGCTAAATTTCTGAAAGTACGGTAACCACAAGAGGGTTTTACGCCAAAAAAGTAGTCCGAGGGTTTTTACCAATAATTTTATAACACAACACAATTTTTGGTACAATCTGTTTTAACAATTTATTTACTGTGTATTATCATAAATATTCAGCAAAGTCAATTAAACAATACCAACAATAAACATCATCAATGCTGATCTGGCGTAGGAACATAGTGTTCTCAAGTCACTGACTGAGAAAGGTTGATGTTCTCAGACAGGCTTTATCAGGCAGTTGCCATAGTAATGGCATGATAAAATAGTTAACGTGTTTTTATAATTATTTCTTTTGTTTAATAATTTCTATTTCTTTCATAGCAGACTGGCGTTTCCGTGAGTTTTACCCATGCCGGAAATTTCATCTGGCATCGGGTGCCAGATGAGTCGCGTGCCATACAACGTCATTTTAATAACACTTTGACGTGACGTCATTTGCGCTATAAGTTATAGTTAGAGAATATGAACGATGACTTTACCGGCTGGTATCAGCGCATGGGGCGACACCAAGGGTCAATCATAGGAAATTAATCGAGACGGAACGTCTTTTGTCGCCCCATGCGCTGAGTCCGAGTATTTATTCTGTAACTGTTTTATCGCATGACCATCACGACCTTTTTCTTTGAGATTTACGCTCTCTCGTTAGATTTGCTTTATTTAAACATATAAATATTTTAAGAAATTCCCACAGAAATATACCGATAAGTTGCTGTTGAAGAAACTGGACATACATAACCATTTGACGAGATAAGTTGATGCATTTTTTTCTAAATGCGAAATATTTTAATCATCTTTCCAGCTCATTTTCAAAATTCATTTCCGACGGTTTTCATGTTTGTACTATCCTGCTAGGCTGCTAACTTCACAAATTTCGAAGCGTCAGAATGAAAAAGTTATGTTTAGATTAAGTTCAACATCTTAAAAAATAAAGATCACGATATTGAAAAAAAGACGTGGAATGATATAAAGAAGTGCTACTAATGTATTTCCGACTGTTTTCATGTTTGTACTATTCATATTTTTCTTTAGGCTGCTAGGCTGCCAGGCTACTAGGCTGCCAATTTCAGGCTGCTAGGCTGCAAAGCTGCTAGGCTGCCAACTTCACGAACATAAATATAATCTAGGAAATATTGTCGATAAAAATCACGGTGTATATTTCAGAGGTACATTGTATATCTTGTACTCGTATTTTTTTTTTAAACTAACGATTTTTTCTTAACACTACTTCCATCTATTAATAATTACGCTAGAATATTATGTTCAAACGTTTAGTGATTTACTGCGTGGCTTACTGGTCAGAATCTCCTGTAAAAAGAAGACATTGTTTAAAGTAAAAAATGAATAATTTGATGATTATTTCAGATTTTTCCTCGAGGTAAAGATGCAGAAAATAACAATTACTTTCCACTCGAGTCAACATCTTTATAATAACTGCATTTTCGAGTTTTGAAAAGCCTTTAATATGTCATAAAGCGAGGAACATTATTACCTCGAGAAAATAATGTTATATGCTAGCAAATGAATATCCACTTCCTGAAGTTACAGCTGTAATATACAAATGGCGTTATGTCTTGAACCAGGAGTGAATTATGTGTTGCTAAACTTAAGATACATAAGGTATTGTATGCATGTAACTGACAGACACAACAGATCAAGCACACATGCATAAATATAGAAAAATGAATTTCTTCATGTTAATTGCTCTATTTATAGTGCAATTTGGTCGTACTGAATCATCACATTTTGTATTGTAACTGTGTGTTGTTAAAAAGCTTTTTCGATGAACATATCGCATTTATAACTTTTCTATCTTAAGAAAATATTAGAAATGATAGTTTAACGTCTCAATTCCGACTAAAAAGGACGCAAAGAATAGAGGAATTGATAAAATATTGACCTTGATTTTCTGTCAGAATGTTAGCCACTTTCATGGTAT